GTTAAGCAGTGACCAATAGAAATCAAGTTATAGGAAAAACGACTTTCTTAGGGTAAATCAAGGGAAAGAGTTCAAATTTGAGCTGTATTCGGTCCCAAGTCCTATTGGTTTGGCAATACCCAATAGAAATCAACAGTTTAGAGGGTAGGTTCCCCAGTATCATTTTGATGTCCACACATTCAAGGATGGCTGATTCGTCTGATTCACTTTTCTTCAATACACATAACTCTCGGATTTACATCCGAAGTTTCCTCATTTATTTAAAATTCTTTTGAAATACAAAATAACAGCCATACCTGGAGATTGTCTAAATAAAAAGTACATCGAATTCATTTTGAAGAGGAATAATTATTACCGTTCAATTTCTTCTTTTTTTTTTGTTGTTGCTTCTCCTCTTCTTCTTTTTTCTCTTTATGTTCTTCAAATGCAACCTAGAACAAAAAAGCGAACATTTGATTTAAATGAAAAGGAAATTTTATTTATTAAATTTACTTCAATTATTTTAAATCGTTCGACCAAATCATAACTTTGTTGAGCAAATACAACATCTTTTATTTGAGGAAGGTGATGATCAAACAAGCAAACAATTTCATTGTAAACATCATTAAATTCTTTTGTTGTTATTGGAGTATCCTAAAAAGAGATAAAGAAATATGACTGTCAGAATGATTATAATTCATTGTTTATAGAATGAAAAATAGAATTATACATAAGATCTCTTCCTTCAGAAGTTCAAAGAATCAAAGTGATCCATCTGTTGGCTAATAAAAAATCAAATACGAATAAGAAATCATAAATGGTGATAATTATCGATCTACTGATGCTGTTTGTGAATGGAACAGATGTTAAGCTATCTATTCATCTGATTAGTTTAACGAAAGAAATATTTATGAAAATATGTTCCTGCACGGTGGAGACGCATACCATAGTTGAAAACCTACAACTGTCGCGTCGTAGTCATAAGAAATAAATGTTCCTGCATTGCTGTCGTCAGAGATGGGTAACTCGACTATGTACCATTCCAACTCCATGCCAACGACTGATTCATCTTTCCTACTCATTCCAACACCAACTTGAAGTTTTTTTCAAACCTTGCTTCAACTATGACTTTCAAAAGTCATACTTGTGCAGAAGTTATTTGAAAAAGAAAAACCTTTTTGTATCAGACTCATCGATCGATGTTCTTTCTCTCGATTTTCTCATTCTTACTTTACAAATCACTAGATCAACAGAAGCTTGATTGAAATTGATAAAAGTGTATCGTTTCTAACTTCTTTGTAATTCTAATTAGCTCAATTCCAACTTCAATCTAACTCCGTTGATAAAAGTCTTAACTTGATAGTTAATTCGCACTCACATTTGAACTTACTCATGTTTGACTCTTGTGTCAGGAAGAACTATAGAAAATGTCTTTGCTAATGGAATGACATTCAAAAAAAAAATTCTCATTATCACTGTCTTGAACGTTTAAATCATGATTTTTGAATTCTACTTTACGAAGAATAACCTATGCTGTCGCTTAAAGAGCTGCGGGTTTCTCCAGATCCGAACCCGAGCCCGCGTTTCGAAAATTAATTTCTGTCGGGTCCGGGTCCATAAAAACATGGACCCACAGTTCTCTACTGTCGCTTCATCTATAGAAATTTTCAAAATTAGTTCATTTGTCTTTCTTGGAATCTCAAGCACTTCTAAACATAATATTAATTACACAAGTGTCAAAAACCATTTATATCCACCCAAGAGTTCTGTCAAAAAGATTCTATTATATTTGTTTGACAAAAATGTTACTTCTTATTTACTCAAAACTGTTGGATGTTTCTTTATTTCAAATATATGTAATAGGAAATAATATTCATAAAAAACATAATAATATAACTCGGACATATAAAGACTAGAATACTTGAGACAGCATCAATTGGCTTCGATATAACAATATTTGACATCCTTTTGTATTCCTACTAAGGATTTGTGGAACTAGAATCTATATTTACTATCAAGATAATAAAAAAAACATACGGCAATTTGACATGCAAGAGAAAAAATTAAATCTTCAATTGGTTTTAATATTTCCATATACTTCTTGATTTTTTTCTTCACAGAGAATTGATTTACTACTTGTTGTAGTTCAGTTATTTGTTTACGAAACAGCTTCATATGATTTAACATCCTAATTCTAGCCAACAAAAAGAAATATACAAAAACAAGACTAATAAATTAGTTAAATATTTTCATACCTTTTTTTCTTTTGAAGATAAAAGATAATATATTTTTGTGGGTGTGGGTGTGGGTGTGGGTGGGTGTGGGTGGGTGTGGGGTGTGGGTGTGGGTGT